GGAGGATGTCAGTGGGGCAAAGCGGTCAGGAGATTTTCCGCTAAGCTGGGCTTGAGAGCAAACGGATCGCCAGCGTCAGTTCAGTCCGAAAGGTCTCTAATTGGAAGATACGAGCTAGGACGGGCGACTCATGATCGTGTACCCAAACTTAACAGATCGCGAGCTCGCTGGTGGCAAGGACGAGAAATATGCATTACGTGCAGGATGATTAAGTAATCTAAAATGCGTCCCAACAGATCATTGCGATTACACCACAAGGTCGCGATCCTGAAGCCAGCTGTGTACAAATTGGATGTAGACCACGCCAAGGTTCAAAAGTGGGTGTACTTCATGTGGACCACATAGGTAAAAGTGGGCGATCTTATGGAAAGGGAGTGGCCTCAGATGTTCGTGTGATACAGATAGGCGTGGTGATATATTTGTTATCGGTTGATTTTCTAACACTAAACAGATTTTAATTTGATCTTGAGTAAACCTGTCGACTTCATCTCCGGGTTGGATTACTGGCCGCCCGACGTCAGGAAAAGCTGCATGCTTAAACCAAATCATACTTTGGATTTGTTTGGCCAGGGATGACGGAATTTTTTAAAGCAAAACCCCAACTACGATTCGACGCATTAAACAAGTAAAGGAAGCGGGTGCAAGATCGCGAGATGGACCAAGTGGTCAGAAGGCACATAGATCGAGCATCACCGTTGGGCAAGGAGATCTGAACCAGATCAGGGCAGAGCGTATAGAGACCCACTCACAACATGCGCAATCTTGCGAAGGTTTTCACGCTATAGCCCCAATCCCAAACGCGGTCAAGTTCGGTATTGACTCGAGTCAACCTGAAAGAGAGCGACCTGCCCTACTGACGGGTCACAAGGTGATCTAAGTTTATAGCACAGACTCACTCCGTTAGTCAGTCGTGTGGTGGGGCGGAATTCAAAAAATCGCCGATGTGATCCCTCCTCTCCACCAATGACCAGAGGACCGAATACCAGAGGGGGTACTCCGTTTCCGAGCTCGATTCCTTCCTCACCTTGTGTACCCGTCGGTCGGGCGGGATGCACTCTTCTCGGTGGACTCTTGTCGATGCTAAACTTGACCGTGTTCGGGACGGGGGGTGATCGTGTGGAAATCTTCACACGATCACAGTTCACTTGTAGGTACTCTATATGAGTTACCCGTATCTCAACGAAATCGCACTGTCCAATATGTAGACCTTGATCTGCTTGACCTTCTGAACACTTGAGCCGTCTCGCAATCTCGATCACCCTTGCTTTCTTGCTACGTCCGATCGCAGTTGTTGTGACGTTGTGAGATTCCTGAACGCAGCTGGCCAAACAATCCAGGTGCAACAATTTTGTAGACGAGAGTCGTGACTCTTGATTGAGTCGGGAGGCCTAAAATCCAACCCTGAAGAGAAGACGCGTGTCATATGAAGTGGATTGAACTCTGTTTAATAATATTAGCCAGCCAAATTGAGAAACCTACGACCTAGCCTATCCATGCCAAAGGCACTCACCACGTGTCATACAATGAATCCCCTTGTCTATTCTACCCCGTAGACTCCCGATTTATCCCCTGCCCCTGACTTAGGTCAGGATCTGATCTGGGATCGGGTCTTCTCTTAAATGGGATCCCCTCTTAGACTGGATCTCCTCCCGGATCTAATCCGCTCTGGATCGGATCCCTCTTGGATCCGGTGCCCTATTGTATCGGATGCGCTCTCAGATCAGGTCTTTCTGTCGAATTCGCTCTCTTTCTTGGATCGGATCTTTTTCCAGATCGGATCCGATTGTCGTGATCCACCCATTTACAATTCGTACCAAGTCCGAGTACGGGTAGCCCTTCTTCAGCTCATTCTTCTACCATTCTTAGATCCACTTGTCTATATTCGTCCGGGTGCCATTTGGTAGTTGGGATCGCTTCCTCGAAAGAGCAAAGCTACTCTACCTCATCAGCGTTACCCTGTGTCAGTAAAAAATGTAAAGTATCTGAATTTTTTGATATGTTGTCATTTTGTCTCCCTCAACTCTTGCCGTACGATATTCAGTAACATGTTGTAGAACAGTCCTAAAAAATCAATTGGTCATAATCGAGTTCAGTTATAGTTCGAAAATTCTGAAATTTTAATTCTTCTCTACGTTGTATTTACCAGGCCGACAACACCCAGAAATTAACTTCCTCGGACCATAAAGAGCTTTATTTATGGCCTCCAATTCCATCGAATCGCGTTTGTCGTGGATTCAAATAGAGCAAATATTGTGGAGTTGTTTTAGTTGCACAGTTATTTGTGCAAGAAAGCAATTTATTGTACAGATTACGAAGCGATTGAGCAACCTGTTAGTCCTTCGCGCAGATGACGTAAGCAGCGAAATAATTTCGCAGCTTTGAAACTGCTGAACCAAAAGGTCGCAGCTTCTTAAATTATAGGATGTTGAATTAGATGCTGGAGACCTGTTTGATAATGCTTCGATTTATTGTCTTCAGATAAGCCCACATTTAAACGATATTGCTGATCAATGCCTTTGACAGAGTATAAGCCAGTCCAAAGCCTTGGTTGATCAGTTAGATATTTTTGCCTGCATTAAGCATGTATGCTTACCCTCCTGCTTGCGTATTTGCATACGCTTTATATGGCAAGCCAAATCAGCGACATCTCAGCTGCTTGAATAGTAAATCAACAGTCAAGACACTGTTTCAAATTATATATATGCATGTGACTGTCAGTATGCAAAAGGTTTTAGCTCAGGGGAAAGAGTTTGGTGCTGTATCTCCCACCTATGGGCAAGTATCAAGCAGCCCGAGAACTCAGGACTAAATCCCCCTTTGCCTGCATTCTGACCCTTGGTGCCGGATTTCTGATTTGTTCTGGGAGGAAGTATGGATCGTTACGGTTGCTTAAATCCGTTATGATTGCATTCAACAAAGACACTTTTGTTTATGTACGTTACATTACTAACCAATCAGTTGAAAACCCTATTAAGTTTCGGCAACTTTTGTTACCGTACCCATAACTTTTCGATAGAGATATGTAATTCGTTACGATTTATGAGTCTAAAGGAGTGGAGGGGCAGTACACATGGCTGAAATTCTTACACGAATCGGATGTTAGGTTCGTATGTGGCGTAACAATGGTGTCGACAATCCAAATATGGCTGGGTTTTCGGTATTATAAATAAGTATATTTGTTTATAACGCGCGTAACAATATTTATAAAGAGAGCAATTGTAGTCGCGCATCGCTCAGTAGCACGCTGACGACAGTGGATGTGGACAAATACATGTGCAACCTCACAGACGTACAAGAAGCGCGCATACAAGCCGGGATATATGTGCGAATGAAGAAAGCGTCTTTAACCACCAGCATTGACGAATTTACTGTTTATGCAAAAAAGCACTTAGTTAGGGCAACAACTATACCTACCACCCGTTCTGTGCATGTTCATATTGTTGGAGGCTGACCAATCATCGACTGATTATGGTCGATACCCGTTAGCTGGATGAAAAGCCGACGTGATCCTTAAGCTCAGCCCTGTATGTTTCGGATTGAATAACATCCAGTATACAGGCTGGGACTGCGCAACACTCCCACGTTGGCACAAGAAGCGGGTGGAATTGTTGACACAAAGAGATCGTCCTGCTCGGACAAGAGGTGCTACCACAGAGTCAACAGCATCCATCCATTAAAAACGTTCGTATCTTATTATAAAGCGCAGACCGCAAAGAAGTATAGCATGAAGAGTAATGCACATCATGTCACACTGGCTTTTACCTTTGCGCTGATCCTTGCAAAATATATTAATATATGTAACGTGCCTTCTACACTTCATCATCGATGCTGTGTCAAGATACTTCGATGCGTATAAATGCAGCAACAATGCTGCTGCGAGTTACAACAATTCGGTCGCAACCATGTAATATTCGTCGTATGCCTATTAGGCCAGGTAAACTGTTGTCTATTGATGCTCTTGCACATGACAGTTGCGCACTATGGTACTTGACATTTTATTTTGGCGGTGAGACCACAAAAAATGATTGCTACGAACGCGTGTCAAATGAAATGGACATGGAAAGAGACAATTGCGCGACAAGCACTCGATGATTACATCTGTAAAGATAGCAACACCCGTTTCTGAGACGCCTCAATATTCCATTCCGTGCTAACACTTGGTCATTTGTCACCCGTTTTGCAAAAAACTTCAATCAAATAGTCGCCGCAGCTTGTTTAGTACACGCGGGATGATCTGGGCGACCTACATCTCGCTCACTGACAAAGAAGCCTGGAGGGTATATTCGCTTCAAACCCTAGGCACCAGCAGCCAACCGAGTGCAATTTTGCAACTGGATCTGGCGTGTACGTGTTACTTGTTCTAGGTCTGAGTGAGGACGCATAACGGGTAGCTCGAACTAATGTAGGCAAATCTTTAGCAGCTGTCAACGCAGCTGGAGTGAGCTTGTGTATTTCTTACGAACTCGCGAGGTACTGTCATTAACCTGGTCTGCTCGGGAGGTATAGTGTAGAAGACCACGTGAGCAACGATTGATTCTAGTAAGTTTCTGCTTCTCTTTGTCGTGGCCATACGATACAAGCAGCTCAAAATGGCTTAAATTGCGTAAGACGCCAAGTCTATCCGTCGCACGCTAAAACGTCAGTCACCAACATTTGTCTTCGCTCTGCGAGACAATCGTAGAAGATGACCCGTCGTCGACGTGCGCGACAGCCTTTGCAGTCAAAGTTTGCTGGTCGGCCATTTGAGGCGGCTGGTTCTCAGTATGTAAGGGGCGTTGGCAGACGAGGTAGAAATGTCATTCGAGCGATGTGATCATTCCTCTTGCGAGGCTTTTGGGACGGATCCTTTAAACTGTCGGCCGATTTATGTGCGTGCACAACGTTCAGCTTAATTCGCGCATAAACGAGCATCAGTGCAAACTATCACGTTCGACGGTTCTCGTTCCACTTATCTCAAAGCGGCTTATCCAGCTTTTCGAATCGATTTTATCCACTCTTCCATGTTGGTCGGACTAGAAACGCACGTGCCCGAGCACCGTCCGCTGCTGCCGCTGCATGCAAAGGGAGAGCGCCAACCGCATGCGCTGCTTGGTATCTCGTGCGTGGCGCTCTCGGCCGTGTGCTTCAGCCTCATGTCAACTCTGGTCAAGTACAACACGTACACGATGACGTCCATGGAGGCGATTTTCTGGCGATCGATTGTCGCCATGGCTCTGAATTACGTCCGTGGAGTTTCTATGCAACAATAACAGGCGGAATTAGTACCGTTGTGGCAGATTGAATCTCTAACAAGTGGGTGACGGATATGTGCTTATGTGTGTGAATGGCTCTGTGCTTTGTGCTGCTCTTCACTCAGGTGTGCATCTGGTACACTGGCAAGACGCTGTACGTTGCTGAACGAGACCGCGCCATGCTCTTTTACCGCTGCTTGGCTGGATTTTCGTCCATCTCGTTCGCGTTCTACGCCTTGTCGCAAATGGTGCTCGCGGACAGCAGTGTCATTGTGTTCACGTCTCCTGTGTTCACCTTTTTTCTCGTGGGTTGTCTGCGTGTTGGTGTCGCTGCGACAAAGGGCTTTGGTCGCTGTTCTATGGACTTTACTGATATTGTACACATGTCTAGGGAGCGTGTTTGCTGCACGAACGTATTGACGCTCCTAGCTTTGCGTGTGCACTGCTGTCGTTTGGAGGTCTGCTATGTGTGATTCGACCGGGCTTTATCTTTGGATACGACCATGCTACTGCTCGAACCGATGGATCGTGGATTGCCGTCGGATCGGCTTTGCTTGGTGCCATCGGTCAGGCGTTCGTCTTTATTACCGTGCGAAAGCTAAAGGGCATACACTTTATGGTCATCGTGAACTACTTTATGCTATTCAGCATGGTGGGATCGCTTGCGTACATACTGTTGGTGCAACGGGTACGGGGTTGTGCATTTAGGCTGGCGTTTTGATTGTGCGAGAGCTGACTTTGTATACGTGTATTTCTACAGGCACTCGTAGTGCCATCGACTCTCAATACCTGGTTGGCTGTCATCGGTAGCGGTGTTCTCACGTTCGTTGGTCAGTTACTTCTGACGAAGGGCTTCCAGCTTGAGAAGGCAGGCATTGCCTCGGTGATGCGTTACTTAGACGTGGTCTGTATTTTTCTCTGGGACTACTTGTTGCTTAACGAGAAGATCAACTACTGGAGCATCGTAGGTGCCGCTATCATCTGTGCATGTGCTGCCGTGATTGCACTGCGCAAGGTTCACTCGAGCTAGACATGGTTGGCGCACTTTATCTGCTTTGACGAGTGTTCGAGCGAACTCGCTTGACTGTGTCAGACGGCACGATAATGAATACAACCCGATGCATGACCACCCTACTTTGTCAGCTTTATGTTTTTGTGTTGCATACCAGCGACTGGTGGCAATTATATGTGTGTGCCAGTGGACACGTGATGCGAAGGCAGTTGAGATCAGGTTGCTTGTTGTGACAGTCTTATCGCTCTAGTGTCAACCAAAATATAAACTACAAAAAGCTAACCACAGCCAGGCACAGCAAAAGAACAAGTCACAAAAGTGGTCGTCGCAAATACGTCCGAAAGCGTAGGTAGCTCCTGCATTCACTAGCGCATACCTTACCAGCCTCAGTGGCCGAGTCACTATGCATGGCATTGGGACTGGGAGGTACGTAGATTAATGCCCATGGGGTTGGTACGATTTGTAACGCTGGAGAGTGGTGGTTCACAGCTGAGTACCTATCCTACTGGTATAGCGGTCATTCGCGTACCTGGATCATCCCCAACATTTCTCTCTCTCACTAATCAGCGCGTATCCACCACTATTGCCATCGTCAACATTGTGCAGTTGGCCAACGATAAGCTTGTCTGGGGTTACACAGGCGTGATCAATGCACTCTTTTTGAAAAGCACATAGCACCGACGGTCATGAAAGTCGACGCTGGCTGCCTGCTTGGCGACGGCTGGACTTAGAGATGTGTAGCCGCATTGATCAGTGCCACCGAATGATAGACTGACGTGATTTTGACGCAAGAATGGTCGTACGAACTGACGTTCTCGGGGGGGCTATAATCCACCGCATCAGCGAAAATATCGTGGATGCCACTTCGTTGGGTCCAGCGACCAGATATTTGTAACTAATGCACATGCCATTGACGCTTATCTGCTGTGCACGTGCCAGTTTTTGACCGCATTTGGCCGTCCGGTTCAGTGCCAATCCTGTCAATAGCAGAGTGACACATAACAGCAAATCGAAACCCCTGACTGTAACGGGGCACACCCTTGCGTAACTTAACGCAAGGGTTTTGAGTGCCCCGACAGACGTACACGTGGCAAGCGAGGAAGCGTAGGTAGGGTAAAAGTAGAACTGTTATATTAATAAATTAAGTCTTTAAACTACTGTCTCTTCGTTTGACTTAATTCAATTATGCTAATATAACTGCATGTATGGTGACGTCTCGTCACCACTCATTGCGCGCGTCTTGCGGCGATTGGTGGGTTGATATCATCACGATATCAACCAATGAACAGACCCTTTGGTCGACCCTTCAATATCACCACTTTGGTGATATTGTTTTAAAGAGTATCCATCTTTATATTCTTTATTGTCACTTTCCTTTAAGTGACAATTTCATGTAACGGGCTGCCCCGTTACACTGACGCTCTTTCGTGTGATTTCTTGCCCGAGATCCTATTATTTTATGATACAATGGACGCTCAAGACCGGATGGCGGGTATCATACTGTCGAGCTGCTTGCGCAACTCAGTAGTCATGACTTCGTCAGCAAGAGTTTGACCTCGTCTGTCTACTCGCGCTAAGTGCACTGATGTATTCCCAGTGCATGGAATGTAGAGTAGCAAGATGATCATTCGCCAACACAGAATCCGGCACCCACCCCAAGCTGCCCATTTGAAGCCTATATGTAGGAGAAGCAGGCGAAACGCAGCTCAACGGATAGTCATCATTAGGTCTCACCACTAAACGGTTTGCATCGAATGGTAGACTAGTCTGTGAACACAGCAAAATACATCGAACGCACCTTACACTTCCAATGACAGCTCAGGTCAACGACCATTGGACCAGGGTCATGGACTTTTTCTGTATCGACGACAGACACTCGACGTTACAATATGACACCGTTCTATTGCTAAGGGGTGCGGCGCTGAACGTGAGGATGAGGATAACAAAGTTGTAAGTCAAGATTGTGGTAATTGCTTCAGTGTACATTTACTGAGATGGAAAACCAAGTGCACATGTGCTAAACTTGTTTCTGGTATCCATGCTTATATTTTCATTGTAAGTAGTTGTTGATCATGCATCACGAGAAATGGTTAGTAGTAATTTGTATAGCAAAAGAACGCGCGACCCGAGAGTGTACGCAGTTTACGCCATCGAGATGTTGGCACCACTGGGGAAGGAAGTTGGCAGTTACACTACTAGAGCAAAGATTCACAGCAAATACGACTGTGCAGATCAGAGCAAGAATGTCGGGCAATAAATCGTAGCGATAAATTTGTTCATGTTGTGACATGCGGTATGTTGAAAAGCAATGTGCAATCCACCAGACTTCCGACTTCATCCATGAAAGCGATCGCAGCGTAGTTGGTGCGCAAGAGGCACGACATACTGTCCGTGATATATCGCATTCCATGAATAGGAGCCTAATTTGGTGGGGCCAGTTAGGGATAAATGAATGAAGATGCAAGCAGGTTGAACATAACAATAAGTCACGTCAGTAATTGCCACCACATGTAACGGGGCACACCCTTGCGTAACTTAACGCAAGGGATTTGGGTGCCCCGACGGACGTACACGTGGCAAGCGAGGAAGCGTAGGTAGGGTAAAAGTAGAACTGTTATATTAATAAATTAAGTC